ACTTACTATAAAGCTGTACTAATCAAAACAGTGTGGTACTGGCATAAAGACAGACATATAAACCAATGGACTACAATAGAGGGCCCAGAAACATACCCTAATATATATGGTCAAATGATTTTTTTTTTTTTTTAAGAGATGGGGTCTTAAGCTTATAATTCTCAGATGTTATCAGTGAAAATTTAAAAAAAGGAAACAAAAAAAAAAAAAAAAGAGAGAGAAATGGGGTCTTGCTGTGTTACCCAGGCTGGATTCAAGCTGCTGGGAGAATCAGACAGTCTGCCTGCCTTGGCCTCCCATGCCTCGCTTATCGTCAGATGATTTCTGACAAGGGAACCAAGACTCCTCCTCAGTGCGAGAAGGACAGGCTTTTCAACAAATGGTGCTAGTTGCCCATGTTTCAGGAAGACAGATCGGGAGCCTGAGGCATGTTGGCAACTTGGGTCCTGGCTTCTGAGGGAAAACATAAGGGAATTAGCTCAGTAATCCATCGTGCATTTTTCATGTAAACTTCTGCCTGATGACATTCCAAAACAAGTGTTTCCACCTACGTTTTCCTTTTTTTGGTTTTTGAGACAGGATCTTGCTCTGATTCCCAGGCTGGAGTGCAGTGGCACGATCATGGTTCACTGCAGCCTCGACCTCCTAGGGGGAGCCTCAGCCTCCCATGTAGTTGGGACCACAAGCACATGCCACCACACCCAGCTAAGTTTTTTGTTTTTTATTTTTTGAAGAGACGGGATCTCACTCTGTTGCCCAAGCTCGTCTTGAACTCTTCCTGCCTTGGCCCACTAAAGTGCTAGGTTTACAGGTATGAGCCACCACGCCTGGCCTTCTGCCCACTTTCAAGATCTATTTAGATGAGACATACCTCTGACCGAATGGGCTAGGGGAAGGCGCAGTTCATTGATTGCTGTGTAAGATTCAGAGATTTGCATGTTTGCTGGTATGCCCGTGGTGCAGTGGCTAGGGAGGAAACGAAGCTTCACTCTGATGCCATACTCTTGAGGTATAATTCTTATTTTGTTGTTCTGTTTCTATTTTCTTTTTCTATTTTTAAAGATGATTCTCCTTTCTACTCCTCCACAAACATCCAGCTACCTTTTCTAAGAGCTAGAGATTGAGTGTTCTCATAGACAGCCAGAAGTTCAGCGACAACCTTCGCCTGTTGTCGTAAATAGAAACATAACTGTGTCCTGCGTGTGCTTATCTCTGCAGCGCCATCCTCCAAGCCAAGGCCGCTGCAGGGCTTCTGAGTCAGCAGTCAGCTGCCGTGGACAAAACATGCAGGCTGGAGTCAGCTGGTGGAGACTCACAGATGCCTGGAAACCTGGCATCACCTCCTCTTCCTCCCCCAAACCCCCAACCCGGCTCCTCACTTCCTCTGCCCCTTCCTTGCACACCTTGGCTTTTCAGTTTCTGGGATTTCTGGCACCTTCCTGCCAGGTTTCCTGGTCTCCAGGTTCCTGTGATTATGAACCGTATACAGGGTGGTACAGGACAGGCCAGGAGGAGCATGATCTGGCTGTGACCTTCAGGAATGAGGGAAATGGGGGGCGGTAACAGGAATAGCCCTGCTCCCCGCACTTCCCGGCTGTCGTCAGAGCCAGTGAGAATGCTGGGTAAGCCCCTTGCAGAGCGAGACAGGCCCAGCCCAGCAGAGCCACAGAGCAATGCTGTCACACTCTGGAGGAGTCCAGGCTGCAGTCATTCAGCTGCAAAGCAGGAAAAGTGAGGCAGCCCAGGGGAATTCACCTTGTGTCATCTTACCTTGGGTGCTGGCCGCATTGTCGCAGGAGCCAGCCTGCCTCTGTTCATCCGTTGTCACCAGTGCCCTGCAGGTTGAAATCTGTTCGGCCGGGCACTTAATACTTGCCTGCTGGTTAGCTCTGCAGCCCTCTGGGAGCTACGGGTGACACCTGTTCATTTGAAAGTATTTTTCACCAGCAGAAGGATTGGGGACAGTTTTAGTGAAGGTATTTCTGTGCAGTGGGATTTCATTTGGAAATCCTCTGTGGTGGTTAGCAGCTCTTTGGAAGTGAATTATTTCCAACCGAGTGGGTTACAACCAACCAAGGGGATGTTAGCTCACATGGAAGAACTCTTCTTGGGAAATAAGTGCCCAAAACTGTTTCAGGAGGGGTGTGAACCAAGGCAAGCATTGTGACGGGAAGGATTTTAGAATTGTTTGTTGCAGGACCTTAATGGATTGGCTTCAGCGAGAATGTCATGGTTCTGACTGCTCTGAATCCTGGCGAGGAGTTGAAAGTGGCTGCTGTTTAGGAACAAAGAAAAGTCGTTTTCTTCTTTGACATGAAGTAGAGGTGGCCAGACCCAGCGTATGCAAAGATCAGCAAACACTGTGACTGCTGGAGTTGAGGTTCACTGTGAATGCAGGCAGGGCATACAGGGCTGGGGCTGCACAGTGCTGTGTGCTTGTCAAAGAGCAAGGGAGGCCTCAGGAGTCCCCAGAGAGAGCAGGGGGCAGAGGGGCCTGATGCAGAAAATGCCCTGGGACCTTTGTTTCTAGCCATGAGTTGTCAGCTGTCACCGTTTCTCCTGCCCTTGCATGAGCACATCTGCTCTTTCCTGCCCTACAAGCCACTTTTTTTTTTCTGAATGGAGTCTCTGTCGCCCAGGCTGGAGTGTAGTGGCGCCGTCTAGGCTCACTGCAACCTCTGCCTCCCGGGTTCAAGTGATTCTCCTCCCTCAGCCTCTCGATTAGCTGGGACTACAGGCAGATGCCACCACACCCAGCTAATTTTTTGTATTTTTAGGAGAGATGTGGTTTCACCATGTTGGCCAGGATGGTCTCCATCTCTTTGCCTCTTGATCCACCTGCCTCGGCCTCCCAAAGTGCTAGGATTACAGATGCGAGCCACTGCGCCTGGCCCCCTACAAGCCATCTTTTGACTTTCTAATTTTTTTTTTTTTTTTTTTTTTTTTTTTTTTTTTT